TGCTCATCACAACTGCACTCCTTAATCCCCATCACCTATTTCTCCCATCCCCCCAGCCCCCTCTCCTCTGGTAACAAACTGATGTTTGTTCTCTGTAGTTAAGGGTTGGTGTCTTGGTTTGCCTCCCTCTTTCTCGGTCTCTCTCTTTTCTTTCCCCCCTTGTTCGTTTGTTTTGTTTCTTAAATTCCACATATGAGTGAAATCATATGGTATTTGTCTTTCTCTGACTGACTTATTTTGCTTAGCGTAATACACCCTAGCTCCGTCTATGTCATTGCAAATGGCAAGATTTCATTATTTTTTATTTGCTCTGGTCTCTGAGGTCCTCCTGAGGGCTTCCCACCCCTAATCGGTATGTATATCTGACCAGTGGAAAGGGCCTCACCTGGAGTTCAGGGGTGCCTGAACCCTGGCTAGTTTCTCTGTGCAGGACACAGGGCTCTTCAGAGAAGCTGTCTTTCCATGCATCTGCTGGTTGCTAAGCAGAAACAGGCCTGCATCAGGAAGGGTGACTCTATGGGGACACCTTTCCCGACCAGCATCACCATCCCCAGGGCAGGTCCTCCACCCCCACCCAAGACCAGCCCTGCTGTTCAGGGTGAGGCTGAAGCTGTCAGAGTCCAGAGGCAGCAGCTCAGGCAGGAGTCCTGTGCTCCCTGATAGAAGGGACAATCTCACACGCCATCCTTCCTGGAAGCCTGCAGATCAGTTTATTCCTGGGTGGGAAGGAAAATCAGCCTGCCTTAGTGGAGCACCAGGAGGTTAAGCCCTAGGCCCCACCCCGGAGAAAGCACATCCGGATGGAGGACTCTAAGACTTGCTCATGGCTGAAACCATAGTGCCTGAGGTGCCCGGGCAGCATGACCATAAGCTCTCAAGGCAATCCTAGGATGCTAAGGAAAGGATGCTGAGCACAGGAGGCCTTAGCAGAGCTGAGGATCTGGGGCCACTAATGGTGTGGGAGGGGCTCTAGTCAACCCACAGGTGACCATGGGCTGGGAGGGGAGGAGCAGCCCCACACCATGAAGTGGCTTTGGTGGCCTTCAGACAATCAGGGCACCTTGGCCCTGAGAGCCATACTGTCTCAAAAATGTGCCAGAGAGCGGGCCCTGGAGGGAGGAGACACCATCTCCCTGGGCAAGTGGGGCTCTCCAGTGGCTTTTGAATTCATGCCTCTACTAAACAGCTCCAAAGTATAGGGTTTCCCCCTTCCTGCCCCTCCAACACACAGGCTAGGAATCAATAAAGCCTGAGCATTCAAACTAGCCCCCAACTCAATGGGCCCAAAAGCTGACAGGAAGAGAAGGTGGCCAAGAAGCAGGGCCAAGGCAGGGCATCATGGTGGTCACAAACAGGAAACATGGTTCTGGGCAGATAAGGAGCTGGAACCCGAGGCCTGCAAATACCAACCCTTGGTCCTTCTCAGCTTTGTCGCGGGCGCAAGTCAAAGTTCTCTTCTTCAAGAACAGAGTTGGCCGAGATCTGCCAAAGACCCTCAGAGTCATTTAGTCTGACCCCCTAATATACTGTGTAAAGAGTAGGAAACTGACCCCTGCCAAGGGACAGGCTGTACCTAGTATCACACAATGAAGAGCCAGGTAACCTCACCCACAAAATCAGCCCATCCACAGCCATGTGGCCTGGTGATTTCTGCCTCTGCCCTTAGTCTTCTGGAGAATTTTGGTAAATACACATCAACATATGTTTCCTGAATCTTGCAAAGTGACAAGTTTTGCTAGTGATTTGACCCTGTTGACTCCCAAAGTTAATTTCTATATTTATTTGGTCCCTTCATTTCATATTTTAAGAGGGTTCCCCCCCCCCCTTTTGACTTTCGTTACTCTCATTACAGAAAATGTGAGAAAAACAAAATATGATGATCAAAATCACCAAGAAGCAAATGCCCTTAAAACATCACCCAAAGAAAAGATTTATGCATAAATATAGAATTCATGTAAGTAGAAGTATACATTATAATATGTATGTTCTACTTTTGTTGCTTAACATGATTTCATGAGAAATTCCCCATGTCACTGTCCATGGCTGAGACAGAGTCTCAGAAGTGTGATTAGTGAGTGGAGAATGCTCATTTCCTGGGCTCTTTAGACTCACTCCCAAAGTGCTTCCATATGTTTTACTGGTGACCACAGCCATCAGCACTAGGTGAGGGTACCGGCTTACCTACATCTGGGCTACATCCACGGGCTATTATCTTTTTCTCACTTTTGCAAGTTTGATACATGGAAGCATGCTATTTTCATTTCTATTTCTGCTTCCTGATAGGTTCAACAATATTTCCCATATATACACATTAACCACCAGAATTTCATCTGTGAATTGTCTGTGAGGGTCTTTACGTTTTTCTTATTGATTTGTATTAAATTTTTTTTGAGAATATTACTCCTTAATTTCTCATTTTTGCAAACATCTCCCCCAGTTTGTCATTTGCCTTTTAGTTTTGTCTGTGGTACTGTTCAGTTTTTGTGTGGCAAATTCCATCTATGTCTTCTATCTCTTGATTCCTCACTTGGTTTGAGTGCTTTGGTTGGAGAGGCCCCTGAGGTAGAGACTGTACAAGTCAAGCCACTGAGTCCTTGGGGAGCTTAGACCCTGCAGCTTGTGAGCATACTGGGCCACAAGGAAAGAGAAGGAAATGGGGCCCGCTCTAAGGAGCACACTCTAACCTGGAGGCCCAGGGGTAGAGTGAAACCCCAAGAAGGACTTTGGCCATGGTCACAGAGGCAGGGAGCCTGTCATTCGGGCATTGGGAAGGGTGATTCGAGCTATCAGGGTTGCAGGAGCCCAGAAGGCAGACAGAGTGAGAGTCACAGAAAGGCTCCTAGAGAAAAGGAATCCCAACCCTACCACCTGGGTAAGACTGTCATCCTGCAAAAGTTCCATAATCTAACTTTGCGTTCATGATCATTCCTCTGCATGGCTTCTAAACTGAACTCATCCTTAGGTCCAGTGTGTCTTGCTCCAGTGTGTCTCGCCCTCTGCCCTCCCCCAACCTAATGAGGAGCCCCCGCTGCAGACACTCACAACACCCCAATCCTGGCCTCCCTCTTAGCACTTTTCACACTGGGTCAGTGCTGGAACTGCTCGTCTCCGGGGGCTCCAAGATGGCAGGGACTCTGCCTCCTCCCTCCCTGAAGGTCACAAGCTGGGTGAAAGGCCAGCATGCAGCAGGCACACGCGATATGTTTGAGGAATGAAGTGTGGGGTCAGTAAGCAAGGCTGGAGGAGAGACGGACCATGAGAAAAACAAAAGAAGGCGGTGCACTCGCTCTCCCCACAGCATCTCCAGGAAGAAAAGAACAGTGGTAAAACACAGTCACTGGGGGTGGGGGAAATGACTTTCAAGTATCTTTAAACTTAAAAGCAACTCCTTTATGCATGATGAACAAGATGGTTACAAGCCATTCCTACCTGTCCATCTGTTAAGGCCAGTCCCTCCTGGCTGTCCTCATAATGCTCTTGATACAGAGACTCTGCCTGTGGCCGAAATGCATGGTTTGCAAAACAATCAAGTCAGATTTTCTACTAATTAGTCTACAGTATTTAGGTGAGTAAAAATAAAGAAATGGGAGCAAAATCAGATACAAGGGTAGGTCTGGGGCAGAGTGGTCACCACAGAACCAATAAGCGGGGAGCACCCAAGGACCAACTGGGCCCTGCTGCACAAGGTCAGGAAGGAGGCTTCAAGAGCAGGAAGCTGGAGAATGGGGACCAGCCTGGGTGCCCCCACTCTCCTGGCAGCCTCTGTGCGTTCCTACACAGACCCCCTCAAGCCAGTTGCCCCTACTCTGTGGGTTGTGAACTAACCCCCTTGCCCATCAAGTCCCACTCCTACCCCCACCTGCAGACTGTGGGGTAGTATCAGGGGTCCTCAAAGCCATGTCTGTTTTTTCCATCAGAGCCACAAAAAAATATTCTTGTTATCAAGGGGATGCAGCAGGGGAGGCCCAATATTTTGGACATTAGAGGAGGTAGAAAAGGTTGGGGAACTCCTCAGATGAGTCCCTTTCGCCCTGCTGAGCCCGATTCCGGGGCAGGATGCCTCTCCAGAGGACACAACAGCTGCTTGCCCTACCTGCAAGCCTTCCTTCATTCCCTCTCCAAATACTCACTGAGCTTATCACACCAGGAGTCCAGGGTGCAGCCTGCCACATGGGGCTGCTGAAAGAGCAGGGGGCGGGGAGCTAGCACTGGGGATGTCAGCAGAGGAGCCAGGCCAGTCAAGAAAGGGGGGGGGGGACACAGAGAGGGTAGGAGAGGGAGAGAGAGACAATAAGGAGGGAACCCAGAGGTCCAAGAGTCGAGCTGCCTCCTGCAGAACTCATGGACCAGGCCTCACAGGACACCTGACATGTGTACACTCTGCTCTGGAAGCTTCCTCCAGGCTCAGAATACACCCACCAGGCAGATGCTCCCAAATCGAAATCTGTAAATCTCTAACCTTGACACCTCCTCTCCTCCTGAGCTTCAGCTATCTGGATGTATCCATCAAGGTGAGCTCAGTGTCATCCCCCCAAATCTGCTTCCTTCTGAGCACCCAATATCCCTGAAAGGCTCCTTCCTCCATGGTTACCCAAGGCAGAAGCCTCACCTCCTTCTCCTCCCCTCCCCCCCACAGCACTCAATCCCCAAAGGCCCAAGAGCCTTCCCCCAGCTGAACCTATGACACCAGGACACCACCTACTCCATTCCTGCTGCACCTGCCAGCCCTGATCACCATCATCCTTTCCCTGATGTTGGCAGAAGCCTCCTCACCATGCCTGGCCCTCCCCCACATCTGCACCACCAGCAGAGCCACCTGGGGCCCAGAACTGATCCTGCCACTCTGCTGCTGACCTTACCTCCCTCATGCCTCCTCAGCTGGCCTTCCTGAGCTTCCTGCTTCCCTTCCCAGCCTCACTCCTGAGGCTCACCTGAGCCCAGCTTCCTTGTTGCCGCAGCCCTCCGCACCTGCACATCCTCCCTACCTGCAATCCCTTCCCATGCTTGTCTACCTGGAGAATTCCACTTATCTTTCAAGTCCCAGTTCAAATGTCACCTCCTCTGTGAAGCCCTCCCTGGTCTCCCCCCTGCAGAGCTGGTCAGTCCTCCTCTGTGGTCCCCTGTCCCCTCTGTCCTGCTGTGCTGTCCCAGCACTTACCACACCAGACTGTGCTTGTCTGTTTACACATCCAGCTGCCCCCAGTGGCCTCTGAGCTCCACCAGGGGTGTGTCTTATACGTCTCTGTATCCCCAGCACACAGCAGGCACCCAGTGTTTGCTACTGTGAGGGAAGCAGACAGAGAAAGAGAGATGGTGACACTCCAAGAGGGAAGAGGGGAGGGATAAATCAAGGCAGTAGAAGGGAAAGGCACATAGAATGGAGCAATGGGGGTCACCTGCAGACCGGTCCCTTCCAGGAGCCTTGCCCGTGAAGCAGGCAGTCAGCACTGACCCAGCACCACCAGGCACTCAGTCCATGCTGGCTGACTGATCAAAGGGGGAGCTCGGGTGGGAGGCAGAGACAAAAGAAAAAGGATAAAGTGGCTCGGAAGGGATGCAATGTGGTATTTGGGGAAAGCACAAGCCGGACCCCTCAGGCCTCCACTGTGTTCACTGGACTGGCATGCTCCTGGACTGTCCTGTGCCCACACTCAAGCCTCCCTAGCCCCAGGGGAAACCTCCTTTCAGGCTCCTCCAAGCCTGGCAGGAGCAGCACCCAGGCCATGCTGAAGCAGAAAGCCAGGCTGGGTCTGCAAGGTCACAGGCGGGTCCCTTGGGACAATTTGGGGGAGTCTCCCACGTTGACTTCTCATGGACATTTGAGATACTAGAGCATCACGTGGGACCTGCCAGTCCTTCTCAAGGCCTGGCCCAGCAACAGCTCCACCCCTTCAGCAGCTGGCCAGGACGCTGGGCCCTGTAACCTCCAAGGAGAGAGTTCCTCCAAACAAAAAACACACCTTAGCAACACGTTCCTGAAAACACAAACCCACAGACCACAAAGATGGCCCATCTCTACCTTGACCTCTTGCTTAGCACACAGCTCACCGACTTCATCATGGAGAAGAGAGACCATCCGGTCAAGTCTAATGTGCAGCCTGTTGAGTACACATTAGCATCACATGTAGAGCTTTTTTTTTTTTT